ATTCCTGCTTCCATTAGTGGGATGCATGTTTCTGCACCACTAACACGTGGCCAGCACTATTTTTGGTCTTTCCCAGTGTCCATACTACTCATTACCACCTCGTTTAAAATCTGGCTTCCGCTTCATTTGGATGCGTTAGGGGAAATTTGTTGCTGCTGTCATCACAGAAGCGCCTGTGCAGTCGTTCTTCACCAGTAAAGAATTTAGGTCATGGACTTCGCCCCATGCCCATTTTGACAGCAGTTTCACTGTCTGCCATGGAGACGCTGCTCTCTTCTGTGTGGGAATTAGGGGTGAACCTTACACAACATTCCGCCAACCTGCACTAAGCATGAGCTATTTGCTGTTGGAGGCTACCAAGAAGAGGCAAGCTATGCTGATGGAGAAGGTGTCCCCCAGGATATCCACTAAGCACTAGCTCCTTTCCAGACACGCAATGAGGATTTTGCACAGGAAACCCTAGAGGTCCCAGCAAACCTTTCCCCTTACCAACACCCCAAGGTCCATCCCTGTTGAGACCAACGATGGCACGTTCATGGCGTAGGCTCCAAAACAGAAACTAATAATTGTCTCTGGGCTGGTGCAGAGAGCCATGGCCCACATAGGTCTCCCGCCCAGGACATTTTGGGGCTGCTGGGTGCCAGCATTACCATGGTCTGAGCATGCACAGCACTGACGCTCTGCTTCTCATGGCCAGCTGCAGAGCCTTGGGACTGTCCTCTGCATGGGGGAAGAGTCTGGGCTAATTAGCCAATTTGTGATGCAAACATCCTTGGCATCTTCCCATATTTATCTGCTTGTTTATGTTGAGCTCTAGGCTTTAGGGACATCTGGAGATTCTCCTCGGCAGGAAACCTCCACCGTTTATATGACTGCTTATCAACAGGAGCAATGGAAATGTGGGAGGGTTTTGGGACCAGGACCAGTTGGGGGATGTCACCGAGGGCGATTGCCTTGGGATCGCATGGCAGGCAAACCATGGATTTAGGACTGTCCCAGGGGCAAACAAGGTGTTGCTTCCACTCAGTCAACACCCAGGTGCTACCCACAAGCAAAGCCAGTATCCCAGAAACAGCCCAAAAGCTGGCTGCAACACACAAAGGTGCCATGCAAAGGCGGATCAAACCCTCTCCAAAGGCAGGTGTGAGCCCCAGAGTCCCCCACAGAGGACAGAGGGCTTTCAGAAGGCAAATTCTATGATTCTGCGATTCTATGAAAAGCAGCTTGGTGCCTCCAGAGCTGGGATGCGGGGGTCCCAGCCATCCCCGGCTGCATCCCTCCTTGCCCTGCGCCTGTGCTGCCCCGCTGCCTCCAGCGAGTGTCAGCACAGAGCAAGGATTGAAGGACAGGCGCTTTGAACGAAAAGGAGAGAAAACCCAGCAGGATCTGACTTCTGCGTTTGGTTTTTATTCCCCCTCTGCTGCAGCTCCCATCAAAAAAAAAAAAAAAAAAAAAGAGTAAAGAGCACAGCAAATCTGAATTTCTCTCTGCTGAAGAGGAACGGCATAGAGAAGGAAAAGGCAGCATTTGGTCTTGTTTACTTTCTGGCAAAAGCTATACATGCTCCAGTGTTTTGAAACAGCAAAGGCAGCCAAATTCTTTCTGGATGATTAAACTTAACTATTTTGTTTGCTTTGTAGCATTTCAGGTTCTGGACAGGGCAAATTGGGTTTCTGCCATCATCTTCACGGGGTTCGGCTGCCCCCCACCCTTCCCACATCTCTGATAAGCAACTCGCTCATTCCTCCTTTTGTTTGCAAAGTGAGAGCGAGACCCAGAAAAGAAGAGAAGGAAGGAAAGGTCGGAAATGCTTTTATAAGGCACTCATTCAGGCTTCTCAAGCCTTGCTGCTGCACCCCACTTTCTCCCTGGCCCTCCCCGACTATCTGCCGAAGTGTCAGGCAGAGAAGGAAAGGGAGGAAGAATTAAAAGAAAAATAATGGCCTCGGAGCGATGGGAAGTGCCGCCCTGATGCTGGGTGCCGTGCTGGCCCTCTGCCAAGGAAAATTAGGTTAATTGAGTTGCTGGTGTGCAGCAAGCATGTGCTCAGCCCTTCGGGGATGAGGCTCAGGGGAGGTAGTTGCAAGGACCCGAAGCCCTGTTTCCAGCCCGAGAAGAAGCAGGCATGGGGGTACTTTGGCATCCTGACACACGACGAGGGACAGACACACGGCCATCAGCCAACGGCCTCTTGCTCTGCTCAGCGGGCACCTCTGAGCAAACGCCAGCCGTCCCCACCGCAAGGGCAGCCGGGGAGCGGCTCTGTCCTCACCTAAGGGGGTGCTCAGTTGGGCACCCACATTTTTTGCAGACTGCAAAGGGCGCAGGCAGTTTATAACCATTCTTTAGAAAGAAAAACCAACTTCAGAAACACGCCAGGGCAGAACTGTAAAGAAAGAGAGTGCCAGGTTCTGCTCCTGGGACAACACAGGGTTTCTCTGAAAGTGGAAAGCGGGTGGGACCCTGGAGCAGGCACAGGAGCAAACCTCTCCTCTCCCACAGCTGTGTGCAGGGAGAACCATTTTATTTCCACAGAGATGAACACATTAGTTGCACAATTAAAGCCGGCCCCAAGCTGCAAGTTCAGGTCAGGATATGACCTGGCCACCGGCTGCGGGCGCTCGGGGGAGCGGGTTCGCTGCCGAGTCGGGGGCACTTCAAAACCTCCGGAGAGGTGAGGCATGCCCTCTGCCTAATGTTGCAATTCTAAAAGGCCTAAGGTTTTATTTTGGGAAATGAGAGATTTCACAGGAAATTTTGCACTTCCTTCCTAATTTAGGTCGCTTCTTGAAGTTTAAAAAGAATAATTACACTATTTTGTATTAAAAGTTTTTAAATGAACCAAGTAATTCTTCCATGGGAAATTTTCCTCCCAGCTGTACCACTGAGAGCACCAAACCATACCAAACGTACCCCTTGTACCTTTTTCCTTGGAGGAGGGACAGACGCGATGGGGACAGGACGGACAGAAACCAAAGGAAAAAAAAAACCCAGATAGTCCTTACCGGCTCAATAATCGCAGGCTCCCCCTTCTGTCCTTTCTCACCCCGTGGGCCACCGATCTGCAGCACACAAGGGAAACACAAGGCCAAAGAGTCAAAGAGGACATCGCCTGCATCAGCATCACCACTCCCAGCAGGAACTGGAGATGCTGGGCCAACTTCTGCAACCAAAGGACTGCTGACATTCATGTAGAAAAGAAACAGGGTACCTCCTCCTCGCCTCGTGCAAAACACATGCATTGCAGGTGGATGAATCCAAGCGAGATGCTCTCACTGGTTTTTGCGTTGCTAATCTCTATGCTATAAATTATGGGAAGACAAACATTTTTGAACTAGGCTTACCCTTGATGGAAAATTAACTCTCTTACCCCTTCGTAGATGGTGTCCTGGTTAGCAGGCATGCCGGGGCCAATATCAGGAGACACTGTTCGGTCGTAATAGTTATCATAATAATTCCCATCATATTCTTTTATTGTTTCCTCGGTGAAATCTTTATCCAGGTCGTCTCCTCCTTGAGCAGCCTGGAAAAAAAAAAAAGAGCAGCAACATGTCAGGCTGCAAATCTCTCTAGGCTGTACATGCTGAAAATATAAGGGGAAGACCGCGGTTTTTGCCAAGTAAGGATGCTTTATAGTAATAGTTGCAAATAAAAAGCACAAGAAAAGTTAAATTCTGGACTTTTAAGGTCTCCAGTGACCTCCAAGGGTCTTCTCCAACGGCAGGCAAGAAGGATGGAAGGATCTTTATGTCAAAGCATACACCCTGGCTTTCCCCAGCATTTCTCCGTTGATCCCTGAAATAACGCTGCGAGTGTAAAAGTTTGAGCGAGGAAAACAAAACACAGCACAAGCAACAGCTCACATCAGGAGGATCCCACAAACTCTAAAGGCCTAAAGAAAGAGGGAATGGAAGTTTCAAATTCCAAGCCCTGCTCACCTCTCACAGCCCCAATATTAGAAACACTGGATAATTAAGCATAAAGAGTCACACATCCAGTCCTGTATTTAAAATGCACATAAAAACTGCAATGTATCATTATGAGTATCCAATTATAGAAGGAAATGTGGAAAAATCCAAGTTTGCTTCTACAAAAACCCTCTGTTTAGTCTGGGATCCAAGTCCAAAGAGCAGAAGCAGGAACTTTTATAAATCTGATGCATTAATCCCTGAATCCTTTCTGACTCCTTAGAGCCACAGATGCTATGGACCACAAGCAAGGACATCTAGACAAGTATCAGAATTTCCTTGCTTCTCTCCATACCCCTGTGCTTTCTGCAGCCTGGCAGGCAACCATTGCTCAGCATCCTTTACTCTGAGCAGCACTGTAAAGAAGAACGTGTGCTGCTCATAATTTTTGTTGCTTCTTTCCCAGCCAGGTAATGACCACAACAGTCCATAAATTGACTTATTTCCAGTGCTTCCCAGAGAAATTATCTCCTCACTACTACAAATTCAAAATCATTTAAATGCCACCACCATTTCCAGACCTTGTTTCAGTGCCGAAACTGCTCAGAACCCATAAGCATAAGCATCTGTATCTAAATTCAAGAGGTTTTAAAGTAAGAATAAGCCCAGTGCTAAGGCAATCATGGCTTTCAGTCATGGCTCTGCCACTCCATCTTCTTTTACCTCTGCAAATACCAACTGGTCTTTGCAGAAATTATAGTCTGGCAATTACCCAATTACAAAACTTGGAAAAGTTAGCATTATTTTTCCTTTGTACCATTCAAATGGATCTAGCGCTATCACACGCATCTTTTATCCTGTTCGAAGTCTTTTATCTAGATTTGCACTTTGAAACCTTAAAACCTGTTTATCTTGCTATAAAGCTTTTGGGGATAACATAGCGAGCTTTTTTCAAATTGCATTTCTTGAACTGAATATCAGAAATGCCTGGTTTTATATTTTGATTAGGGTCCCCAAGTCAGTTTGCATGGAAGGACATGGTATTTTGAATAACGGGGCAGAGGAGGAGGAAAGTTCTCCATGCTGAGATTTGCAGGTGCTTTGGAGAAAAACCAAAATGAAAGCCTAAAAATAATCTCCTTAACAATGCTGTTAGACAACCTGAATCAGAAAACAGTCCACAAAGAAAAGAGGAGGTCCAAACAAATCAGTGTGCAAAATACTGTGACTCTCCTTTGCTGATAACAGCTTCATTTAAATCATATTTTAGTCTTCCCTTTTGGGAAGCAATGCAGCTATGAAGCCCTGGTATATGCATCTGGACAAGTAAAGCAAACTGCCTGATGAATAGCAGGCAATGAACAAAATATATCTGTCCCCAGCTCTTCTTGTTCATGGGAGTATTGCTGCCTACTAAATCTTGGAATTGCTTCACTGGCATCTGTCACGGAGTTATTAGCCATAATGAAACCCAAGCCCAGGAGAGTTCAGTGACTACGCCTGCCTCCAAAACCTCCCACACAGGCTCCACAAAGTTTCACTAGTGTAAAACTAAATCCCCTTTTAATTCCTGTTGTAGGAATTAGCCTTCCCAAAATATAGACAGGTGAACTTCAACAGTGGCGGACACATCCTGCTCTTGCAACAGGTCTGTGAAGGGGTGCTAAAAATTACCGTTCTGCACCAGACCAACGTTATCCCATTTGAGCCCATGACCTACAGCAAGCAGTGCCCGGGCTGGTACCAGCCCACCTCTCCCCTGCCGTCCACTCGCATCCCTGTGCAACAGCGCCGGGGCTCCGGCTGCCTTCCCCGGCTGCTGGCGGAAACCTGGGACCACTTGAAATTACACCACAAGCACTATTTTTTTCCCTAGACTAGCCAAAAAACTTATGACTTTTTTTTTTTTTTTTTTAAGAGCAAATAAACTTCTCCAACCACTTTAGCAGT